CTCTTCCCCTTCTCCCTCACTCTGGCCTTGTCATTCCTGGAACAAGTCAGGCCAGCTCCCTCCACGGAGGGCTTCCTACTCGCCCTTCTCTCTGCCTGGGACACTGTTCCCACAGACATGCACAGGGCCCACTCCCTCAACCTCCTGCAAGGCTTTCCCCACTCTTGTCCTCAGGGGGCCGTCCCTGGCCATCCCAGCTCAGAGGACAACCCCTTCCAACGCTCCTACAGCATCCAGGACCCCTGATGCGCCAGATTCCTTGCCTCTGTGTTTCCTGGCTGCTTCTCTCCCTGGAAGAAAGGCTCCCTAACAGCTCCACCGAGGTCTGTCTGGGTCACATCGGGAAGCGCACAAGAACCGAGCCTCTGGCAACTGAGAAGGCGTTCAATAAAGAATGTGCAGTGACTGCTGCAGTCATCTGAGGGAAGATGAGAGCTCGTGAGGCAAGGCGGGTGGGGGAAAGAGCATCTTGGGCAGAGGGAGCAGCCGAGCCGCCCCAAGGCCGGCGGGCACAGGGCACATTGGAAGGAATGACCGGATCGAGTACAGCAGGGAAGGCGAGCGGGAAGCAAGACTGGAGAAGAAGGACGGAGCAGCCGTGCACACACAGAAGGAACGTTTCGGTCTATCTCGAACGGCAACAAGAAGCCAGGAAACTAGGCAGTGACATGAACGAATGGGCCTTCCACAAACCTCTGGCTTCAGGGGGAGATAGGGATTTGGAGGCGGTAGAAGCGCCTGGAAGCTCAGTAAGCAGACTAGAACCATGGCGCAGACCACAAATGACCTTAACTCGGAATGAGAGGGCAAAAGCAGAGGTGGAGAAAAGGAGGTAGATTCCAGAGATATTTAGCAGATAAAATCACAGGTCTGGGAGAATGATCACACAAGGGGGTAAGGAAGTAAAAGCAGAGTTCCAAGAGGACTCCTCCCTTTTGCACGTGGGACCTGAAGGACACAGTGGCCCGATTCACGGAGTTGGGGTGGGGTGGGGGGGGGTGGCGAGGAGGAGAATACAGGAAGGGGATCTTGAGAAGTTTTGGAAAGAATGGATTTGCCATAATTCGGAGACATTGAAATACAGATTTCCAGTTGGCAGCGGGAGACCCAGGGAACCGTGAGAGGATCAGGAAAAGCAAAGTGAGTCGCCACACAGTACAGATTCTCACCTTGTGGCTGATGGGGAATCAAAGGGTTTCGAGGAACGCAGTAACAGGAGAAGATGTGGGATTCCAAGAAGATCACCCTGGCCAGAGCAGGAGCACGTGGATGGGAGAGGGAGCTGGATGAGAAGCAGGCAGAACAAGAGGGACCTGCTGCAACAGAGCAGGTAGGAGAAGGGACCGGAGCCAGGGCTGTGGCCACAGGGAAGGAAAGGGGAACAGACCTGCTCTTTGTCAGCAGTGCATCTCCCACGAGGCTCCTGGGGACCGTCCGAAAACCCGGAGCACGTCAGCTCCCCCACTTGACCCCTTGGTCCTCGCACGAGTCATTCTCTGACAACCTCCCCAGAATTCTCTCTTGCTCCCCGCTCCCTGGCCCAATGTCAGGTGCCGATGACACAGCCCTGGGCTTCCACGGCCAGGCTAGTTTCTTCTGCCCTGCAAACACCTATTTGTCTTTTGAAGGCTTCCCCCCTCCACTGGCAAAGAAGCAAGAGCAGTGCTGACATCGAGGAGGCGGCCTGGCACCATGAGCCGGGCTGCACGGCTGGTCGCCGCGGGCCTGGCGCTCCAGGAGACGCCACGTGCTTCTCCGGTTGCACGCAAATGACCTCGCAGAACAGCAGCTTGAGGTGCCGTGGCCCCGGTGATGAAGGGACACCAAAGAGGACCCCTTGCTCTTTTGTCCAAACAGACAAAAACCAGCTTGTCGTGCCCACCCCCAAATGCCAATCCTCCTCTCTCCCGCCTGATACCAGCGAGTGTCTTCCTTGTGAATGACACCGTCCGTCACGCTCTTCACACCTCCTTCTAGAAAACACTGATGGAGCTACCCGATCCCAGAACTGTCTCGCCTCGCCTCGCCTCAGCACCCAGACCAGAGCACACCCCTGCTTCCTTGAACACTCCCAAAAACATCCGCCCAAAGCCCAAATCCTGTAAGTTCTTTCTAACACCCTCTTTCTTACGGATCAGCCCCACAGTCCCCATGACGTGGGTTCCCCCTCAGGATGAGTAACGAAGCCACTGTGTTTAACGACAGCTGTGCTTCCAGTGGCCTTTGTGGAGGATGCTGACCACCGTCACGGGAGGAAGGGATGGTTCCCTTTCCTGGAGGGAATCCTAGGTGTCCTGGGAGGCTAACTGGCTTTCTTAGTGCGATTTTAGGGGCTTTATGGCTGTAACCTAGGGCAGCAGGAACCAGCCTAACCCACAGCTAGGACATAGCTGGAACCAAATAATATTCAGAATGGAGGGAAATCAAGGGGCGCCTCGGTGGCCCAGTTGGTTCAGCGTCCGACTCCTGATTTCACATCAGGTCATGATCTGAGGGTGCCGAGACTGAGCTCCAAGTTGGGTTCCACACTCAGTGTGGATTCTGCTGGAGATTCTTTCCCCCTCCCTTTCCCTCCTCTTCTGGCCCCACGCCAGGGGCATGCACTCTCTCTCTCTCTCTCTCTAAGATAAAGAAGTAAATAAAATCTGTATTTAAATAAATAAATAATGGAGGGAAAGCAAAAGAAGTAAGAATTATTTAGGGAAGGCTTCACTCTGTGTCAGACCCGGTGCTAACTGCCTTGGATCTATTGCTCATTTAATCCTTACATCCCAAAGGTGGGCTACCATTTTTATCCCCATTCCAAACACAGGACTGAGGCACAAAGTGATCTGCCCACGATTCACGCAAGGAATCTCTACGTTATTAATCACATGACTTTCTGACAAAGTTTAAGGGTTTAACACACTACAGTGAAGATGCACATCACGGTATCACAGAACTTGGAAGGACAGAGCCCTGCAAAATGTCCTCAAACGTTAACTTATGGATTCTCCCAATCTTCTTGCATGTTGTTCAGATAAAGGAAAGCCCGGTGCTAAAAAGGCTTTCATGAAATGCAACCAGATGACAAATATACGTGGTCTTTAGAGCCCCGGGCCCATCCCAGAAGACTCTGACTCAGTGAGTGTAGAGGAGGACGTGAACATCTGTGTTTTCTTTAAATAGCCCCACAGGCTCTGCTGATGTGCACTCTGGGCTGGGTACCACTGTACTCTCTGCAATTCCAAACCCAAACTTGCCCTACAATGTTTAGATGGCTGCAGACACAGGGGGGCATCGAAAACTGAGGCAAAGAAGAACAGAGAAATTACAAAAACTATCCCCTAGAGAGTCAAGAAAAGGAAAGCTCTAGTTATATTACTTCTCTGTCCTTTGGCTGTGTCTGAATTACTCTACAGTTAACTTACTTTGTTTTAAGTAGGCAAGTTTGCTAAAACGTTTACCAACAAATACTAAATAATCAAGACTACCAATACATTTTAAATAAAATTATACTATGCTACTGAAAAGTATTTTCTGATTATTTCAATGGCACTTCAGAGTCTCTTAGCAAGTAGCAGTCGATATGCGAACATTATTTCTAATTCAACAGTTCTACACATGTGGTCAACAGCACCTGAACACTGGAGAAGAAATGAAGTTGGCTGGAAGGCTTTTAGCTTCCCAAATTTCACCACACACTACCGTCAAGTCTTCAATACCAATGTATGTATTTACCTCTTTATTTAATCAACCACCACTAACACCCACTACATGTCAGACAGGGCTCTACGTGTTTCATTAACGTTAAATATCATTTATCTTTACAATCATCTAAGAAGTGGGATTATCATCATCTCCATTTCTCACATCAGGAAACTGAGACCCAGAATGGTTTAGGAACACAGCTCATAAGAGGCAGAGCTCCGATCAGCTTGGCTCTGGACTCCATGTCTTAAATCACTATGTTTAGTCTCCAGGAACCTACAAAAACTGCAAGTCTTAACCCCGAACCTTGGCTTGCCCACCCTACAGTCCCTACAGTCCCTACGTGGCCCCGGCTTCAAGGGCATTCCCTCAATTCCTTTCACAGTTCACACTCCTTCCCTGCTCTAAGTGAACACCCTCCCACATCCCCGTTTTTTTCTTAGCCTTCTGTTCTCAGCTTAAACATTACTGCCTAAAAGACAAACTCGAATGCACCCCGTAGTTCTCAGCACTCGAAGCAAAACGGTAATTATGTATTTCATGGGCAATTATTTGCTTCCAGTCTTTTCCAACCAGGTGGTGATAGGGTAGACGCCGTATCTGTCCTATTTATCCTGGGTTCCCAATCGCTGAATACCCACCCCCCCCACCCCCCCAAAGAGAAGGGCCTACCACGAAGTACACTCTCAACACTTTCTGTTGAACGAACGAACGAACGAACGAACTACACCCCAGCCTGGGCTTTCCGACACCTATCTGTGCTCACAACACGGCCCCCACTGCACCCCTAGAACGCAGCCTCCTGCGGCAGACACGCAAGAGCTCTGCAAAGTCCTGGCTCTGCGCACCACTACTACGTGCTCCTGGGCAGACCATCCCCCCCGCCCCGCCCCAACACACCTTGACTGACCTGATCTCAGGTGCACAACGGGCACCCTGACGATCCCCAACGGAATGTGACCTATGCAAGAGGAAGAACCTGCACTCCTCCTCCCCTCTCAACGCTAGACTTCCTTGCTTCTCGTCGGGCTTCCATAAGGACTCGAGCCCCAAGGAGGCCAAGACCCCGCCGGCCTGCTGCAGGCCGCATTCCCAGTCACGCTCCCCCCAGGCCTGGCGCACAGCACAAGGGAGGTCATTCTCCGCTCCAGGAATGAAGCCCCGCGCCGGGCACTTCACACGTGCGAAACGAGGGTCGCACGAGGTGACGGCGCCCTTTTGGCGAACGAGCGTGTTCCGGAGACACAGGCCCGCCCCCCACCCAGGCCCCAGGCCCCCGGGGACGCTGGGTCCCCGCGCCCGGCAGGCACCTCTGCACGGAGAAGCATCTTCGCAAGGGCCGCGCACTCCCTCGTCGTCTGGGTCTGTCGAGGAGGACGAACAGGAGCTGAAAGAGGCCGTCCTCGGACGAGCGCCCATGGCCGTGGAGGTTCCGGGGTGCTGTCCCCACCGAGAACAACGAAACCGGGTCCCCGGGCGCTGGGGGGACGAGCCAGCCTCGGAGAGGGAAGGAGGGCTCGCTTCCGCCGCGCTCAGCTGCCGGGGCTCAGACCCGCCGCTCACGTCAACCGCCCAACAACCTTCCCGCTCATTGGCGCTTCTGCCCAGACGCTGATTGGACAGCTTCCCGCCCGCTCGGCCCGCGGACGCGCCCCTTGGGTGCCTCCTCTGGCCCCGCCCACAGAGCCCTGGGCACCGTCTACCCCTCCTTTCCCGTCACCACCTGGCGGGACCGCCGTCAAAGCCCCGTCTTCCTTCGCTCCTGGTGCTGTTTTCTGAGTCTGGCGTCTGTGTGTTCATCACAAGCTTGAAATGGCTGTAGTCTGTCGCAAGGCCAGCTTTCCCCCCACTGAAGTGCTTTGGCTCCCTTTTCAAAACTCAGTTGAGCGTATTTGTGGGGACTCTTTCTGGGTTCTTTGTTCTGTTCTATTGATCTGTGTCTGTCCTTCTGCAGATACCACACAATCGTCCTTAGTAAAACTATCGCAGAAGTTCTGAAACTGGGTAGACTGCATGTTCCCACTTTATTATTATTTTCAAAATTGTTTCTGAAACTACTCTTCATTCCTCTGTCTATCCACATACACTTTAGAATCATCTTGTCTATCAATCTACAAAAGAAAACAAACCCTGACTGGGTTTTGACAGGAATTGCATTAAATCGATCTATCAATCTGGGCAGAATGAACATCTTCACTATGCTTAGGCTTCCAATTCACAAACATGGTATATCTCTGCATTTATTTATATCTCCGATTTCCTCTATCAGTGCTAACGGCTGTGGGCATGCGAGTGCTGGACATGCTTTGTTCGATTGATCCCTAAGTATAGTTTTACTAGTAATTGTGAACGTATGTTTGATAGTGGAGCCCACATGTTCGTTGCTAGCATACAGCAATACAACTTTTACATGTTTCTTCTGTATACTGTTTCACTGTGAAATGCCATTAGTAGTTGTAAGAAGGCTGACATTTTCATAACCTCTTGGGGCATAAGGCCTGAAATGAAGATTCCATATTAAGGGCTGTCTTCACACCAGGGACAATCAAGGAGGGACGGAAACAGCCTAATGCAAGTTCTCCTCTCCCTCCTCCCTCACACGTAAGGTCTCCTAAGCAAAAACCCTTCTCATCACAGGGACCAGACATAGTGCCTGTTGATTTGGGGGAGCAGCGTTCAGTTCCCTAGAAGCCCACTGAATTCTTCAAGCAAGCCACTCATACCCTCCCAAGGGAACCAGGACTTGCCCCACCTTCTTGTTAGGACAAAGTCTTGCCTTCCAAGCCCCTGCTTGTTCCCTCTGTTCCCAAGTGCAATTCCTGTGCAGCCCTGCACAGTGTGTGGTATCCTCCTCCCTTGAACTGTGAGAATATGTGACTAGTCAACTGCTGCCAGTCACATCTGTCAGGTGTCAAGGGATCCCTACAAGCCTAGAGCAGGAATCTCTCTCTCGTCAGGGAACTGAGGAGAAGCTGAATAAAAGCAAGTGACATCACAAACAGGGTGGCCCCACCTTAACTGAGGACACGGGGTCAGCTTGACGTGCTCCTTGGCTTCCTAACTGGCTTCAGAGGGGACAATCACGATCTGGGAGGGAACTGGCAACTGCGGGCCAGCTTGTGTGTTAGCTCGTGTTCTGTTAGCTCCAATGGAGGTCGCCATCCGTTTCCAAACCAATGTCCCATCCTTGCCAACAAGTTGAGTACAGATGCGACTTGACTGTACCTAGGAGGGAGGTGCCATCAGTGTGACCTCCATCTGGCCTGTATCGGTCTCCAAGGCTCCCCGCTGAGGTCGGCAACCCCACGACCTGCTGACTGGGGTGCTTGAGTTCCACCGACTGGGTGTTGGGCCAGTGCTTGGGGCAGACAGACAGATCCGGGTGGGGAGAGCGCACCCCACGCACCGTCCTGGGGATGACCCTCTGTGTTGTGGGTGGAAAGGAAGGGGGCCACGACCCCAGGGAGATGTAAGAATGGCTCCCTGGCTGCCTCCTGAGTCACTGTGGGTCAGGCAACGCGAGTGGCCTTGCCCATCTCCCCAGCTGCCGCTCCTCTCCCCGTTACCGTGTGTCCCCCGGAGCCCTCAGGGTTTGGAGGCGCACATCCATGGCAGCCCAGGGCCCAGGAGCTGATGAGAAACACAAAAGTGGAGGGTCGGCCGTTTGGTGCTCCACCTCTCTCCCAGTGCAAAACCCCTCCTCCACACACTTGCTTTCTCTTAGTGTTGTTGCTTCCCAGCGCGTCCAGGGACTCATCTCTGGATCCAGGGCCTTGAGGCTCCCACTCTGGCCATGGACAAAATGACCTTCCTGGCTGTGGACTCCAACACTGGGGAGATGGACTGGCATGCCCGCAGGAAGAGGACAGTCATCTGTGGGGCCGACCCACCCAGCTCCCTTTCCCCATAAACACCCAGAACATGTGCACCACGTCTGAATAGCTGGAGACAGAAACAAAAACCCATGACTTTATGGGGCTAGAAATGAAATAGTCTCCTGAGGGAATCGGTAGAGTGGGAAAAGGGGGGAGGGGAAGCCGTCCACACTGAGAGAAGGTAGGGCTGTAGCAGAAGATGCTTTGGCTTTATCAACGTCTGCGCTGTGGGTCCTGTGCTCTTTCACTTACCACCCCACTGCCTAAACCTGTTTGGCACAAGATCGCCATCCTCAGGGTCGTGGGGGAAACATCCGTGGCACCCCTGTGGCACAGTGAGGGTATCAATTCACACCCTGACTTACGCCAGGACACCTGAAACCATACGACCATTGCCACGACAGAGGCTCCAACCCTAATGATGCTGATTGGAGACTCTCTGGAAGAAAAAACGGAGAAAGATGAACAGGGTAAAAAGACACTCCCTAACCCAAGCATATATCCAGGACCAAACAAACCCAAGAAAAGGAGGAATGGAAGAAAGAAAACTGGATACAGGAAGAGGAACCCCCCCAAATTAATTCGACATAGGTTCACAATTTGACCCAACTGGAAATCCAAAATTCACAGGGGCGCCTGGGTGGTTCGGATGCTTAGGCGTCCGACTTCGGCTCCAGCCGTGATCCCGGGGACCTGGGATTGAGCCCCATGAGAGGCTCCCTGCTTGGAGGGGAGTCAGTCGGCTTCTCCCTCTGCCTCTGCCTGCAGCTCCCCCTGGTTCCTGCTCTTTCACACCTGCTTGCTGTCTCTCTCTCAAATGAATGAATAAACCGTAAAAAAAAAAAAAAAAAAAAAAAAGAAATCCAAATTTACTAAGATAATTTATATGGCAAAAGATAAAATGAGGTCAACTGGCTTTTGGCCCTCTAAAACATAGGTTCTGAATTAACGTTAATGTCTGCTAAGATGTACCAGTTGGGTAACCTTCATGGATTCGATACCAGGGCTCCAATTATGCTTGTACCTAGTAAAATAACCGTATTTTCTAGCTTCTGTATTTAATGCTTTGACATCTCAGACTTGCTGACTTTGGAGGGACTGTCCCTGGCAGGCTTAGTTAATTCTTAGAAAAAGTCCACAACTGGCCTGGGAGCATACCTTTCACATCCAAACCAACCGGTACAGAACCCTTACTGCCAACCACCTCATCTTAAGCAGCTCTGGGCCACTATGGCCTCCCTGATCACCGCAAGGGCGGGACAGACTCCTGCAGACACCACTCTGGCCTGGAGCCCCCTGAAATTACTCAAACTAGCCAGTCTTAAACGTGCTTATCCTGCCTCACCTGTCCCTTCCCATGGAAACCACAATAAAGGGTCTTGCCCACATTTTCCCTTCACTCCCTCTTTCTCCTGACCAATCCTGGTGCTTCCCCAGGTGGCCCTGCAAGGCTCTCAGAACCTCCTTTCTTGGGGCCTCTAAATCTACAAAACTTCTTCCATTGTGACAGTTACTTCTATATCTTCCTAACTTATCATACCTGATTAAAATAAATCCTGGTCCCCTGAAAACCTCTGAGACCCCTAGGGCCACCTGGGTGGCTCAGTGGGCTACGCTTTCTTCTCAAGTCATGGTCTCAGGTTCATAGGATCCAGCTCCATGTTAGGCTCCGTGCTCAGGGTGGAGTCAGCTTGGGAATCGCTCACTCGGCCCTTCCCTCCGCCCCCCCCGCCCCAACTGGGCTCGTGCACTAGGTGTCTCTCTCTTTAAAATAAAGAAATAAAATCTTTAAAAAAAAACACAAGGGAGCCCAACAAATTTAAGGATGGGGAATATTTTGCTAATATAGATTTGGCCAATATGTTCTGTTCCATGCGTATTTCAACATCCTCTCGGTCAAATGTGCCTTGACTTTGAAGGGGACACATTTTACCTTGTTAAGCACAGGGCACCCAAACCTCTCTGCTATCACAGACATCTTTGTGGGCAGGATCTTACTGCACCCGTCCTTCTCCAGGGACATAGGTATGACATCACATTTACGACTACCTACTGTGAGGACATTTGTTTGACACACTTGTTAAGGACATGCAGGTGCAGGGGCGACTGAGTGGCTCAGTCCATTAAGCGTCTGCCTTCGGCTCAGGTCATGAACCCAGGGTCCTGGGAACAAGCCGCGCATCAGGCTCCCTGCTCACTGGGAAGCCTGCTTCTCCCTCTCCCTCTGCCCCTACCAGCCCCTTGTGCTCTCACTCTCGTGCTCTTTCAAGTAACCAAATAAAATCCTTACAAACAAGGAAGGACATACAAGTCCAAATTCTGTCAGTATTTTTTTTTTTTTTTTTTTGGTTCTAGAGGCAACATATTCCTTGTTTATAAATTTTACATAAGCCCATTTAGGCTGCTACTTGTCACTGAGCCCACGCTGGGTGGGGCTCCCCTCAACAAAAGGCTCTAGGATCTGTCCAAAACAACTGTGAGGGGGCGACTGGCTGGCTCAGTTGGTGAAGCGTCGGCCTTTGGCTCAAGTCATGATCTCAGGGTCCTGAGATCCAGCCTGGCAGGGAACTCCCTGTTCAGTGGGGAGCCTGCTTCTTCTCCCACTCCCTTTGACCTCCTCCTCCAGCTCCAACTGTCTCTCAAATACATAAATAAAATCTTAAAAAAAAAAAAAAAAATCACCCGTTAGTGCCCTAAGTAAAAAGGCTTTAGCAACTACCTCTCCAGCTTCCTGGAGTCACTGGAATCGTCCATGGACTCCCAATGCAAGAAATGGCCCTCCTTGGCCCTGGGTTATAGACCATGAAAGCAGCAATTGCTGACCATGCACTGGGCTCTCCTGGAAACGGAGTCTCTTACAGACTCTGAGCCTTCATATCCCGCTGTCTGCTCTGCCTCGGGTCATGATACCCCCACCAGCTTAATGTAGTTACCAAGGCCTTCTTGCTACAGGCTGAAGCCAAAGTCTGCATATCCAACCTGCAGGTGGGGGTGGCTGCTTCTATCCACAGTCCATTGCCAGATTCCATGGTGCTGGAGGACGTCAGCCTTTCCTTCTACCCCTTGGCTACCTAAGGATTCCCTTGGGATCAACTGAGTGACCATCAATGACCGTTGATACATTTTGGTTTTGAAGACCAACTCCCCCTCTTGTTCACGTGACAATTTCACTTCCTAGAGAAGCACCTGTCCTACTCCTTAAAAGTCTCAGTCCCAGGTTGAAATTGATGTCTAGATATCAGAGTCCACTGTGATGGAAAGCCTGAGATTAAGATTCAATAGGAAGTGTTGTCTTAGTATCAGGGAACATCAGAGGGCCTCCAATGGCCTCGGTCTCACCCAAAGTTCCCTTCCCCCTCTGCTCCCACAGATCAGGTCTCCTGGCCAAACGACCTTCTTTATCCCAGGGACCAGGCACAGTTTCTCCCCAAGGAGTAAGGTCCATTTCCCTGACAGCGTGTGCAATTATCCAGCAAGCCAGTCATGCCCTCCTGCAGGAAGTAGGGCTCACCGTCACTCTCTTGTTACTACAAGGTCTGCCCCCGCCCCAAAGCCCTTCTTCATTCTGCTCCCAGGTAAAACCCCCTTGTGGCCCTGCATGGTGTGGGCCACGAGTAGACATGGGTAATAAATTAGTGTCGAGCTCATCTGTTCAGCATCCGGACATCCCATAACTTTAGGGTGGGAATCACTCCCTTTACCAACGGGTGAAGAGGAGAAAAATGAAATCCTTCTGCTTTGTACCTTTGGCAAGGCACAACGATGAGGCTCATGCACTTGAAGTTCTTTGGATAAGAATCTATTGGGGGCTTGTAAGAATTCCCTGCGGCTAAAGGGCAGCCTGTATGTGAATGATGCGCAGGAGGGAAGGCTGCAAAAGCAAGGGCTTGGATGGTCTCCTAAAGGTCGAACTCCAAGCAATGAGGGAACCCACAAATAATGGCAGCAGGGAAGTGACATCAGATTTTCGTCTCAGTTCGCCCTGACAGCAGCATGGAGAATGGATTCAAAGGAGGCCGAGTGTGGAACCAGCAAGATCAGTAGGCAGTCTACTGCACTAGTCTGTGCAAGAGACAGGAATGGGTGAACCAGAGCACTGGCAACAGAAAGGGAGGGAAGGATTTAAGATATTTGGCAGGCTGAAGATACAGCACAATGGAAAATTAATGGAATGAGATCTTTCAAGAAGTCTGAATGGGAGGCGCCTGGGTGGCTCAGTCAGTTTAGCGTCTGCCTTTGGTTCAGGTCATGATCTCAGTGACCCGGGAATCAAGCACCACATCAGGCTCCCTGCTCAGCAAGGGGCCTGCTTCTCCTTCGCCCTCTGCCACCCGCCCTGCCTGTGCTCTCCTGCTCTGTCAAATAAATAAATAAAATCGTTAAAAAGAAGAAGAAGAAGAAGAAGAAGAAGAAGAAGAAGAAGAAGAAGAAGAAGAAGAAGAAGAAGAAGAAGAGGGAGAAGGAAGAAGAAGGAGAAGGAGAAGGAGAAGGAGAAGAAGGAGAAGGAGAAGGAGAAGGAGAAGGAGAAGGAGAAGGAGGAGAAGGAGAAGGAGAAGGAGAAGGAGAAGAAAAGAAGTTTGAGTGGATGGTTTCCAGAGTATAGTGGAGTAATGAGCCTGGCACTGCAAACGAAGATTTGGAGTGGCTTCTGAGGAAAGGAACAAGGGAGTTGACCATGGACATTTGAAGTAAAAACCGATTAAATACTGATCAGTAGGAGCTAGTTCGGTAATTTAGGGTATATCCACAAAGGCCTGCATTTCCTTTTAAAGAATGAATTGGAATTCATTCACATTTGTAAAGATCTCGAAGGCAGAGTGATTTTTTTTTTTTAAAAGCAAGTCATAGAATACTATACGCCCAAAAAGACAAATATACATATATTTCTAAAGGCCTGAGATAAATCAGGTTACCCATGAAGTAGATTCCCAGGCAACATAAAATGAAATGGAAAAAACAATTAAAAATAAAAAAGGAGAAAGAGAAATGGGACATAACTGGGAAAATCAAACTCGCATTTTTTAAAAAAATGTATTCATCTTAACCTTTCATGCTATACACCCAGTTTCTCCAACAAGGCGTGGGTGCTCATGTATTTGATAAGTTGGGAACATTAAAACGAGTGGATGTTTTCCTTACCAAAGGTATATGTATATACATGCTCCTTATGAAAACATCAAAGCATTACAAACAATACTGGAAGTACCATTGACCGCAGCCCCCAACCCCACCAGTGTCTACTCTCATAAGAAATACCCACCATTTTCAGTTTGGTGAATACCTCTGCAGTCATTAAAAGATGCCTTTTTTTGTTAACTCATAAAAGAATATTTTTATTAAGCTGAAAGCAAGACTGCAAATATATTACGTTTTGCAAAAGGACATTTTGGGATTAGGTAAACACACAGAGTGACTTGGGGTCTTCCGAGCACTGTCTCATCTCTGGCTTGAGAATCCTCTATTTCTTTGAGAGGCCTTTGGCCGCCATTCCAACCTTCTCCGCAGGTGACAGTATTTGGGGTGCGTACGTGGGCAAAGCATCAGTGACGGCATTTAGAAGAAGGTGCTCCGATCCATCTGCTTCCGGTCCAGGTGGGGTAATAAGAGACACCGTTGTGGTGCGGGGCTTCACATCTTTTTTCCGGGATGTGGATCCTAGGGTACTGTTCAGACGTGCTGGGCCTTGTTTCATAGCCAGTTTTCCCCTTCCTCCGGGATCTGGGGGCTTCACGTCATGAGCAGAGGGCTTTGGTGGTGGCAAAGCTGAATGAGATTCCGCTTCTAGAAACTGGACGAAAAGCCCTGAAAAAGAATTCTTGGCCATAGGTCGG